TTTTTCTTTTTTTTTTTTTTTTTTTTTATTTTTTTTTTTTTTTTTTGTAAACTATTGTATTTGTAATTAACAGAAGATCGTCAAATGGACTCTTAATTTATTAAATAAATTTTCCTATATATGATATATGAGTCTTATAAGGTAGATTATCCTTGCTCATCATTGGGCTAGAACTATATATTATATATGTAAGGTAGCTTATATGGCTATAGTTTCTATGTGGTTTAAAGTTATAGTTTCAGTGGCTTAAAGTCAGCTCACCTACCTCAAAAATCTTCATATCTAAAGCAAATGCATTAGCAGTAAGCAACAACAAGACTTGCTTGCCCTTCTCACTAAGCTCTTATTACTCTAATTATTTTCACTCAATTGTTATACAAAACATTTTCTTAACAATTTCCCTACTTAATCTATATCATTTCCTTTAACGTTTTCAGTGCAGCGATTCGCTATGATGGCCACCTCACAGGATTATTTTGGCAATCCGTATGCGCTATTTCGCGGTCCGCCCCTTACCATGCGGCCGCGCAGTTCGCCGCTGGGCGTGGCTGGGCACACGCATGCCGCCTACGCGGCGCTCGATCTGCAGTCGCCGCACAAGCGTCACATCGAGTCGGATGTGCGGTCACAGCCGCCGCCGCCGCCGTTGCCGCCGCCGCCGCTGTCGCTGCCGCCGCTGCCAGCCGCATCGCCGAGGTAAGCCCGGGTCGAGTGTGCAGCCGGTAGAGCGCTAGAAGCGAGCACAGAATTGAAAGTATATCGAATCCTATATCGATCCAAAATGCATATCATCAGCAACACATCAACACTTCTTCTATGCTAAGTCTTCAATCAACACAAGCGCCTCAACCGACACCCAAATGAAAGCAAACCCAATTGAAATCAAGTTTGAGTTTTTGTTGTTTGTCAAATCAAGTTAAAGTAAATAGCCCTTAAATACTTACGGCCAACAAAAAAAAAATAAAAATAATAACGTAAATTTAACGTAGAGTCATTTTAATCAAATTGCTAATCGTTTCTGTTGAGCCTTTACAAAAATTAAATTGGACTTTAAACCCATCAAAGAGAGAGATTTCCAATGAGAAAAACAATTGCCAGCAAGGAAAAGTGTTTGCTACGCTATTTAAGATAACTTAAGATAAGATATGATAAAACCTATAACTATTCAAATATAACCTAGCTCATAAAGCTGAATGTGTGCATATGCTAATCCCTGTAAGAAAAGACACCAAGATATAGATAATAGATCGTAAGCTATTGCAGAGCAGAAAAGAGCACTTGTACCGTTGAGAGAGATTTTTACTATACATAAGTACATTCAATAACAATATCTAGCAATATTATTAACCTAAGAAATAGTCGTCGATTTTGACTACTGAACTTTGCCCAGATCAGAGTATTAAATAGTCAGGCATTCATATAATTAATACAAATATCAGATATATATATATAAGCATATATACCTTAATGATATACTAAAGCCAATATTCTAACTACAAATCAATATATATATATTAATATATATATATAGTATTTTAGTAGACAGCTATTTGTGGGTCCAGTTGTTCCCGAAACTTATATAACTACAGCATAAACCTAGATATAGAAAATACATATATACATATACATTTAAGGTTAACTCAGTAGTGAACAATATACAATATATTTGATATACGAAACTCTTATCCAGTTCTTAGTGCTTCAACAATAACAAATACAGCTAATGTTAACTCGAAGTATACGTACACGAATAGCCTCTTGAAATTGTAGAATTTGTAGTTCAGCTAAAGCAATATACACAAACAATAAAACATATTCTATTAACAAGTATACAAAATATTATAAAATATTTATGAAAATTAAAAAAACTAGTATCAATATAAAAATATTAATAAATAATGTATACCAGTATTATATAACAGCATATTTGCATATATCTAAGTAGTGCCAATAATTTTCTAGTTCTCTAAGCGATACATGCTTATGCCCATCAACTATTTTCAATCCCAAGTCCTGGGCATAAACACGCACCTAACGAGCACATTGTAAAATGCAAAATTTTAAGCCAAGAGTACAAAAACAACAAACAAACAATTGAACCCACGAATTGGTAGCAAAACACAAACTTGTACGTAAGTAGTTTTAAGCCACTGTAAAGCAAACACTTTTCATGCGAAAAAATCCCAAGAGATCTATATAGTATATACATACGTAAGCCAAAGTCAAGGAGAACTGTGAGAAGCCTGGAAACTGAGCCCCAACGACAGCGTCGAAGTTGCCAACGTCTTCAATCAACACAAACGCACACTATGAGCAGATGATGATCATCAATCAACATTCATCAGTCATCAATCAACAATCAACAATCTATTAGCTTAGCAAGTCGCAAAAGTATTAGCCACATATATCTATATCTCTCTCTCTCTTTCACAATTGCTATATATCCTACTCATATATATACAATATGATATGTAATGAAAACCTAACCTAACCAACAATCAACAAGCACCCAAAAACCTGTCGACGAGCGCGGTAAGTCAAGAGCCATTTACATTTATCTCTACTACCTCCATAACAAGAAAATCACGTGCGTGTCTAGCCAACGTAGATACACTAACCCACACAACGTAGTGCGGCATGGAGCCATTTAGTGGGGCGCTAGTGGGGCTGCCCAGCATGTGAAGCCAAGTAAAGCATATATACATACATATATTATAAGCTTAGATCTATATAGAACTTAAGATCTAGCTGCATTGTGAGCATGCCAAAAAAATACCATATTGTGAGCCTCTTAAAGCTGCCAAACGATGCAGCAACATGCAACATAAACTCTCTACGTAACTTTTTAACATTAATTCAAATTCTTTAATCCCAAGAGCTGCACATGCAACTGCAGTACTTAAGAGAAACCCTTCAAAAATCACATATGCTCGTGTATATACAGTAATTTTGGCTTTTTTTGTCGTCAAGTTCATGCAAATGCCAATTTAACGTGCGATAAGAGTCAAATATCTGCATTAAGCCCTTGACTCAATCGAGCATTATGCACCCCCACCCCGCTCCTGCATACCTTGACGATAATCAAATCTAACGGAAATGTCTTTACAAGAACCCTAATGTGCGCTATGCGATTGC